GTAGACTGGCACAATATGAAATGGAATGATATTATTATGCCAGATGCTAAATCACTCATATCAGCAAATGGGGAAATTTGTCCAAGCAGGCATATACATTAGAAAATGTTAAGAAACATTGGCTAGGTATCGTATTTCAGAGTTCAAATATACGTGCTTTCTCCATGCAGAGAGAAATACTGTTTTGGTATCAGAAGCAAACAGTTTCCTGCTTTTTATCTTCACATCTTAATGAAATTGTAATGTTTTCTTCAAACCATGATTGTGCAATAGTCTTATTTCAGGTAAAAATGTTAAATTATTTATATAAGAAGAATCACTATATATTATTAGATGGATGGATGGACGGACGGATGGACAGACGGACAGACAGACAGATAGATAGATAGATAGATAGATAGATAGATAGATAGATAGATAGATAGATAAATAGATAGATAGATAGATTGATAGATAGATAGATATTATAAATAATACACAGAGAAGTAGATATTTATGCATTTATGTATTATCTATCTGTATCTATCTATATCTCTATCTTTTTATCAAGAATTAGGAACTAAAAAGGTATGGTCTCCCAGCTACCAAAGATTCTCAGATCTGGTATCTAAAGTTCTTCAGTATAAGTAATACAGGACAAAGAAGATTTTCATGCATTTGTATTTCTTTCATTTGCTTCATATCAGGATGAAAATGCTGATCACGAATGTTTTCTGAATATGGAACAGTATGGGACACGTGCCTGTGTTTATCCACCTACATTTCTACCACCCACACATTCTTCCTTGGGCTATGGGAAAGATAGAATAGGCTAAAAACTTGAGTTTTTGTCTCCTGCAAGTGAACAGAAATAATAGGGTTTTAGTTCTTTGTATTCCTTTTGCCTGGCATGTGAGTTTCTTCTGATTTTTACTAATCCTGCTAAGAAAACTAGCTCTTTATAAAGAAATTTGAGGCGGGGCTGGTGAGAATAAATGGGAGCATTCTTCTTGCAATAATATGTCTCTGCTACGCCATCTAGTGGTGGACAGTTTCTGTGCTGATATACTATAATGCTGCTGCTAATGCTCGGGAGATTTCTTTACATAACCCAAGAGAAATATGCCACTCAGTGCAGACTTTCTCAATCTACAACATTAGAGGTAAATTATTTTTCTACTAACTTGTATGCATTATTGTATTCCACATGTCTTTGTTCAATATGAATTATTAAATATATCCACCTCTAAAACTACTTACTTTCCAAACGTTTTCCTAGTTTAAAAGGTGGCTAATATGTTAATGAACTGGTACCTAACAGGATGACTTGTTTGTATATATCTACATCCAAATCTACCTATACCATCTGCATCTATATCATCTGTATCTATGTCTATCTATACATTCATGCCACTTTTTATATGGTGGCCTTCAACCTTATAGTTAGATGTGCCACCTTGGTTTTTTTGAATCTTTCCCAGTGGATTCCCCTAACTGGTAGGCTTTTCAAGGATATGAATTTTTAGGGCTGTTCACCTAAAAATGTCACCTATTTTTCCAAATATTGATAATGCAAGTTTGCAAACATGTTTTGGTTAAGTATTTGTGCAACCTGTCTTGGTTTACCTGCTGCTGGTTTCAGAGGATATCACAGCCATTTTGCTAAAAGTACAATTTTATGATAGTAATATCTATACAGTAAATGTTTGCTGTAGCATTTAAATGGGAGCTTCCTACTTAACAGCTTAATACTTAGACCAAATAGAGTATTAGCAAGTAATTGAGAGTATTAGAAAGCAACAGAGATTTCAGTTCCATCTATATACACTTAAAAGATTAAATTATTAAATTATCAGGGAGAAAGATTTTAGCTTAGTCTTCTACATCTGTTAAGTTTCTGTTTCAGTTTCAGAGTTCTTGTCTTGTTCAGACATTCTTCTTTGCTACAATCTATTCAATCCCTCCCAGACTATATCAAAAACATTCTTCCATTCCTTCTGTTTCATATGTGAAACATCATGGTTGACCAAGGCATAGGACATCACTCTCTGTCAGTCCAATCCACATCACAAGGTTGTTGTGGGGAAAATAGAAGAAGGAAGGCATGTTGGATATGTTTGCCACCTTGAGTTATTTGTAAAAATAATAAAGGTAGGATATAAATGAATCAATCAATCAATAGCAAGTCTTATGAAGTTGGAGGTGGAGTCTGAGATTTGGATTAGCTATTAATTTATGAAATAATATGAGCAAACCCAAGTCACCTTCCAATTGACATTGGTGACTTATATAAATGCATCTTTTGTGGCATGATATGGAAGTGATTTTTATTATGGTTCGTTGCACAGTCAGCCAGATGTTCACATTGGATTTAGCATTTTTTGTCCACCAATCTAGTCCTTCCTAAGGACTTGGGATAGGCAGATGTGGATGTTTAATGGTGTTACAAATATCATCACAGGATGTAAGCTGTTCCAAGTGAAGTTGCCTTTTGCAATTGACTGAGGGTGAAATTGTCAATGCCAGTGGTGTTCAAATTGTCAATACCAGTGGTATTCCAATTGTTTTGGGATTGCTTCCAAAGCACCTACTGTGTTTACCTGAAAGTAAGACCTACCCCTAAAATAATCCTAGTTTGATTTTGGGGGGTGGGCCTAATATAAGCCCTACCTCAAAAATAAGCTGTAATTTTGGGGCAAGGCACAAGTCTAAAAATCAAGCTAGGATTGGGGGTAAAAGCTGCCCCATGTGCTCTGCACCTGCTTACCATTGCAGCCAGGCCTCCCATGAATCAATACCTGCCTCACCTCACTGGTCCACTTCTTCTGTGGCATCCCCCGGTGGGGGGGGGGACACTGCGCACGACAATCCGGATTTCCATTCTCAACTGCAGAGGCATTTCCTTTGGCCACAGACGAAGTGGGCTAGTTGGATGGAGCTGTCGGTACCCGCTGACTCAAGGCAAGACTGTGGGAAAGACCCCCCCAAAATAAGATCTGGTGCCTCTTTTGGAGGAAAAAATAAATAAATAAGACTGGGTCTTATTTGGGGGAAAACATGGATTACTGTTGGTACTACCTTTGCTTTCTTTTGCCAGAGTCATTCTATTTTTATTTGAAGGTCATTGTATTTTGTTATCTTTTCCAGTTCTTTCTTTTCTATTCTGCTGTCTCCAGGCATTTCCACATCCACTATCCAGACTTTTTTGTCTTTCTTATCGACAGTTGTTAAGCCTGGGGTGTTATTATTTATTCTGCCTTTGTTATTTTTATAAATAAGGTAGTGAACATACCTAACACTCTTCCCCCCCCCCTCCTATTTTCTCTATAACAACAACTCTGTGTGAGAGAATGAGTGACACAAAGTTACCCAGCTGGCTTTCATGCTTAAAATGGAACTAGAATTAACATTCTCCTAATTTTTAATCTGGTGCTTTAACTTTTAGACTAACTGGCTCTTGCCACTGTCTTCTTCAGGGATGTTTTCAACTTTTCAACTAGCCTATAGTTTAACCTTGCAAGGTAGCCCCTCACCTAAGCACTAACCAGGGCCAACCTGGGAGATATTATGAAGGAAACTTTGTGAAAAATGGTTGATTTGAGATAGCAAGAGAAGACTGTGGCTGTTAAAATAAGACTTTTAAAAAGAAGGGTTTCATATTATCAATTTAATAGATCAATAATGAAAGCTGACTGGAGAGGAAGTACATCTCTTGAATGAAAAAATGAAAGGGCCATATTGAAGAGAATAGGGCAAACTCCTGACAAGACAAATGGTAAGAAAGTAAACAGTATATCCAATAAAGCAAAGACAGATGGGAAATGCTCCAGAGCCAGCAATCAATGTGGATTGATTGACTAATGTGAATTGTGCAAGGGCTGGAGAAAAGGGAAAGGTTAGTGTGCAAGTTGAAAATGAAAAACAATATGATATTGGAACTCTTTGGGGAAATAAAAGAAAAAGACAGATGTGAAAGCAATTGATTTGCTCAGATCTAGGAATGATGAAAAAGACTCATTGATGGCATACTAATTGTGCTGATAGGGATTTATGAGCCTGTTTATGGTAAATAATGTGTGGATTATCTGATGGAATTTTATTATCTTATAATGCTCTGTAAGTATGAAGAGGCCCAAATAATCTTTACTGAACTTTTGCTTAGCTACCATTTTTATTTATTTATTTTGTTTTAAAAGAAATTTTGGCCCAAGTACAAGCTTTGCTTGAAAATGTAATCACAATAACTTGAATCTAAAACTGATGTTTGTTTGCTATGGAGGAATTTAGATATGCTGAATTTCTCATCAGATATATTTTTTTATTTGAACATTACTTCATAATGCTCTTGCTAAATGATCCATTTGATTCCAACCCTGACACTTGGAACATAAACTTGGAGAGTTTTGTAGAAAAAAGTTTTAATATCTCTGGAAAGCCATTAGAGGTGTAGCTGATCAATGACTTTATGAAGTAAATTGCCTCCAGAAGCAGCAAATGCTCCAACACTGGAAGTTTTTAAGAAGAGACTGGACAGCCATTTGTCCGAAATGGTGTAGGGTTTCCTGCCTGAGCAGGGGGTTGGACTAGATGACCTCCAAGGTCCCTTCCAACTTTACTATTATTATATTTAAATTCTGTATTTACTATCATGCAAAAGAATATCTTGAAATTAAACTCATTGTTGTTTAATCATAATAGGTTGCAATTCAACTACCACCTGATCTGAACTTCAAAAGATGCATTTAGATTGTAGGTTCCCTCTTTTTTGGTTGGCACTTAAATCCAATTTTATTTTGGTGCCTGCACAAAAGACCACTACCATGTCAACAGAAAAAGAGACATTTATGACAAATGCCTAATTATAAATCAAAGACAAAGTGTAGCATATAAACAAGTATTTCTGCTCAAAGACCATCAGTTAATATGCAATTTCACAAGTAAGGAATGCTTCAGCTGGTGGGAGATAACTTTGGCAATTATTAACCCAAATCCTCTATGACTTAAAATAATATCTTTGGCAGGTGCACATGATCCCTTATCTTTGGACCTAGAAAGGAGCTTGAGGCTAAGTGATGGAAGTGTGGAAAGTGAGGAGGTGACCGAGACGGTGGGAAGGCCAGAGGTGTTAGTGTTGCCAAAAAGGATACCATGTGAGGTAAGTTCTATTAAAGAAAATGCAATCCCCACAAGTGCATTCTTTTTATTCCATTTAAAAGAAAAGTGCACAAAAATAAATCTCAAAGTTCTGCTGGGTGGTGGGTTTAGACTTTAGCTTAGGAAAAAGGAGCAAGACTCACTTTTTACAACTGAATCTCTGCTAAACAGTTACAATGAGTTTGGGTTTAAATGTTTTGAGAATAACAGAATTGAAAGGGGCCTTAGAGATCTTCTAGTTCTTCTCAGGCAGGAAACCCTATATACCATTTCAGACAAATGGTTGTCCAATCTCTTCTTAAAAACCTCCAGTGTTGAAGCAGCCAAAACTTCTGGAGGCAAGTCATTCCATTAATTCATTGTTCTCACTATCAGGAAATTTCTCCTTAGTTCTAGGCTGCTTCTCTTATTGATATCCTTAGTTTGCATCCATTGCTTCTTAAGAGATCCAGTCTTTGAGAGATCCTGTCAAAATCAGTAAGTCTGCAAGTTTGTTATTGCACTCATTTTAGCCCTAAAACCCATGGTACAATAGCAGAGCAAAAGAGGTAGATTTGTTTGCATTATCTCTGTACCCAGAAAAGGATGTTGAAAGTTGTTGTTACAACAGTTATTAGTCTTTAATAGGCCACAATGTCTATTCCATTTCCTGAAAAAGGGGGGGGGGGAGGAATAAGATAGCCATCTAAAAATCTACGTCTTTAAAGGAAGTGATCTGACCATGACAAAGTCCTGCAATCTGAGTTCACCATTGCCCTAAAATCAGTTCAAGGGTGCATCCTATACAAAGAGCAAATGTTTTGTTGAACTAATCCATGCAGGCCAAATAATCGCTTTCTGAAAATATGTAGCTCTTCTGCTAATGTTTCAAACAACTTTCATGAAAATATGTAATTCAAATTGTATAGATTTGATGTATTGACGCAAAGAAATAATTGGATACAACTCATACTTTGCAGTGCCCTGGAGAGATGTTCATTATTTTAAGAGATGATGTCCCTGAAGATTCAGTAATCATTGAATTTATAACGGAAAATAAATGGATCAGAATTGAGCCAGATTTTTGGAATCAGAAAGTCAGATTCATCAAAGCTCTAGGTAAGAGTTGGTACTAGTTCAGGAAAAATAAAATTAACATAATGGAGTGCTATACAGTGTTTCCCATTATAATTCAATACTACTTTTTATGTATGAGCTTTGGATTTCAAATTCTACTTTATTAAATCAGAGCATAAAAGTTTTTGACTTATTAATAACTGGAGACATTTGGTTGTTTATTCATGATAAAGTAGCAGTTGACAGTCTTTAAAATGTCATTCATTAGTCATAGTTTGCTAGCCTTAATCAGTTCCTGCTGCACATATTATTTAGAGTAACTCAGCATAAATCTGTAGCACATATTATTATCACTGCATGACATTTGTGAAGATATTGTCTTGCTTCATGTGGAGAGTTTTTCAAATTCTTTTGTCATTTATTTGCGCTAATATATTTGGCCACATTTTGGTGTTTTATGGTCTTTTTCAACCATCTAGTCATCCTTTTTTATTGTAACATTAAGTAATATTTATTAAATCAGTAGTTTCAGCTTAGTTGAACAAAGAATTGCCCAATGTAGCAAGTGAAACTTTTTGTGGCTCTTGCATGTGTCTTTGACCATTGCTAAAAAATTAACATCACTTCTTTATTACGAGATGGGAAGCATATGAAAAATAAGCCCTAACATGTGCATATTATAATTTTTAAAAAAGAATTTTCTCCAAATCTAAAATTGTCTGTATGTTGGATATCTTCATAGCCATTTTGCAGCACTCCTTCAAAAATATTAAGTACTGCCAAAGTTGAAAACATTAAAAGTTGTTAATCTGCCCTTCTGAAAACTATTTCCCTCAACTGCTTTTTAAAGATGTTTTTATTGGTGCTACCAAGAGAGGCTACTTGGTAAAGCAGTTAAGGTGACAGGTTAAAAAAAAATGAAACTGAGTTCTGAGCACAAGGCTAACTGGGTGACTTTGGGCCAGCCACTCTTTGTTTCAGCTCTAAGAATCAGGCAATGGCAAATCACTTCAGAACTATTACCAAGAAAAGTTCAGGGACTAGTTGGAGCAGTTGTCAGGAATCAAAATCTGACTAGAAAGCACAAAAAAAAAAAAAAAAAAAGAGTCATCAGGATAGAATTATAGTGTAGACATCCAGGAGCTGAGCACAAAACCAGCAAGTTTAGCTTATCACATTTTTCACTACAAGAATTAATACATAGATTATCACTTAAGTGTGCAGCTGGAAATTCTTCTCTACCCTGAAGCACTCAGAATATTCACTGAAATGTCGTAAATATTTCCAAGTATGCTGTATATTTTAAAGCTTTCTTTGTTTTCCTTTGTTCTCTAGCCTCCAAATATATTTTAATTCTGCCTTCTTGCTCCACTGCTGCTGATTCTTTTCTTCCATTGCTCACTGCTTCTTTGCACATTTGTCTCCCCTGTGAATCGTTGACTTCTCAATCTGGAATAGATAGCATAGAAGCATTCTGAATGCTAAATCAGTGTGGAAAGGTTTTGGCAATAATTCTGTTTCTTTTTCTTCATTTTTTCCACTGAACTTTTAAAATGTTCTGTTTTTATAAGATTTTCCTGCTGGCTTTGTAAATGTAAATATCTACTGTGGAGGAGACATTAAAGCCACAGTGCAGATTGAATACTATTCAACAATTGGAGAGTTTGAGCAGATACTTCAGAAAGTGGCTGATCCAATTGCATTTGCCTGTCAGGTAAGCTGTTCTGTACATTAACGGTTAATAAAAAAAAGTTAATAAACTATTATCTAACTTAATGGAGTACATAAAATGAAAAGGGTTGATAGTTTGAGGTTTTTTCCTATCCAAACATTTCCTTTTTATTTATAATGTCTAATGAATTACGTAATATTAAGCAGTAGATTTTCCCCAAATGTTGGGTATCAGCATGTTAGAATACCAATATCAGAAGGTTAGTATTTCAGAGCTGTGCAAATATGAAGTAGAAATGTATATAGGTAGTCCTTGACTTACAGCAGTTCATTTAGTGACTGTTCAAAATTACAATAGCACTGAAAAAAGTGACTTATGACTGTTTTTCACACATACAACTATTGCAGCATCCCCATGGTCACGTGATCAAAATTCAGATGCTTGAAAATTGGCTCGTATTTATGGTGGTTGCAATGTCCTGGGATCATGTTCACCTTTTGCGACCTTCTGAAAAGTCAGTGGGGAAGCCAGATTCACTTAACAATTGTGTTACTAACTTAACAACTGCAGAGATTCACTTAACAACATTGCCAAAAAAGGTCATAAAATGGGGCAAAATTCTCTTAGCAACAGAAATTTTGGGCTCAATTGTGGTCATAAATTGAGGACTACTGTATTGCCTTGTAAAATGTTTTACATTGATTGGGTAATAGTGAAAATAGAGTCATACTAGAGATATGGAATATGGACTATAAGAAACTGTGTTACTCTAAAGCAGGGGTGTCAAACTGCCAGTCCACAGACCGGATGCATCATAGCGAAACCACATCCACCCCATTGCCGGCAATGGCAAAAAAAGTTATGATACATCACAACACGTCACGTAACGTTGCAAGTTTGACACCCCTGCTCTAAAGCTACTATGTCCTTTAATCATTCCAACTCAGCAGTGTCAAGTCACCAGTATAATTCTTTACCACTACTCAACATTTGTAAAAATTTCTATGCCCAAGACAAAGGAGCAATGAAAAAAATGGATTTAAAATACATGGCCATTATTTTAATGCAGGAATAGGCAACAGGTGACATTCCAAATATTGATCACATTCTGTAAGAATATTGAGTGGTATAGATGAGTAACATCTTGTGGCCTTTTTACTAAAAATGGCCAACCAGGAAATTAGAAAAGAAATATTAGGAAAAAAGAAATAGGAAGAAGAGAGGAGTTGTATAAAGGTTTCAATAGGCAATCCACTGACAAAAACAGGAGGAAAAGTAACCAAAACATAGCAACAGGCATTGGTGTGCACCCCTATATAGTACGCGGTAGGGGGTGCAAGTGAGTTCAATCATCAATCCATCACAAAGAGGCACATAGACACATAGAAGACAAGGACACTCGAATCCTGCTTTATTCAAATCTGTTACTATAATAATCTATAGTTTTCTATTTGTTAATAATAATAATAATAATAATAATAATAATAATAATAATAATAAAGTTGGAAGGGACCTTGGAGGTCATCGAGTCCAACCCCCTGCTCAGGCAGGAACCCTACACCATTTCAGACAAATGACTGTCCAGTCTCTTCTTAAAAACTTCCAGTGTTGGAGCATTCACCACTTCTGGAGGCAGGTTGTTCCATTGGTTAATTGTTTTAACTGTCAGGAAGTTTCTTCCTAGTTCTAAGTTGCTTCTCTCTTTGATCAGTTTCCATCTGTTGCTTCTTGTCCTGCCTTCAGAAGCCTTGGAGAATAGCTTGACTCCCTCTTCTAAAAAGGGTAACCCAATATGCAAAATTCAGGAAATGAAAGCAAATGGCTTGCAAACAAAGAGTTACAATATAGAGAGCAATTTGGTCAAGTGTCTTAGGATTTGGAAATTGGGACTGAGAACAAGTAAGTTTCTTTATACAGTTCAAAGTGCTACCATTGATATGGCAATTGCCACCTATTTACCTGTTTAGAAGGAAGATTAGACACATCCAGGAAGGATAAATTTGTTTTAAAAACAAAAGCAAGACTCTTAATCTCATGTCCATGAGCTTTCTGTTAGAATCTTGGCTAGACAGGTCTTTGTCTAATTCAGTAGGTCTTGTATATTATTCAGTTTTAAAATTATAGTTTCTTTTTAGAATTTCTTTTTATGACTGTCCACTTTGATCTTGTTAATCCTTTGCCATAAGATTTTTGCCATATGATTTAGAAAGAATCAATATTGTCATAGCTTGGTGCCCATAGGATTTATAATGTCAGAGATGCTTCATTTCTTTTCCTCATGTCATAATGGAAAAATTATATCATCACATTCCATTATTTCACCCTTGGACTCACCAGTTTGGAAACATGTTTGTTGCTATTGGAAACATGTTTGTTGCTATTGGTCAGATATATAAGGCATGTTATGATGTTCCTAGTTTTGCTTATTAATTAAATAAATAAATAAATAACCAATTAATAAGTATCAGCTTATTAAAATAAATACTTCAACTATACTTTACAATTATTTAATGCTACTAGATTTCCTTGCACAAATTATATATATATATATATATATATATATATATATATATATATATATATATATACAGTATATGCCGCCGTATTAGGCGACCCGGCGTATAAGACGACCCCCGTCTTTATAGCCGGGCCGCATTCCTAGAACATCGTCTTATACGCCGGAAACTACCAGTATTTCCGGCGTATAAGACGACTCGGCATATAAGATGACCCCCGTCTTTGGCGCCGATTTCAGCGCTCGCGGAAGTCATCTTATACGCCGGCATTTACGGTATTTGTTTTCATAGATTTTCACAGGTATAGGTATGCAGGTCTTGGTGTATTCGGATCTTTTCCTGTGTAAGATTGAGAGTATCTTGGCGACGTTTCGACGAGGTCCCACTCGCCATCTTCAGGCTGGGGTCTTCGGCTTGTGCAAGCAAAGTGTGATCGAAGCTGCTGTCTCTCTATATATATTGGTGGGGGTGTGTGGAGTGCTGGCTTAGTTGCTGTAGGTGGATTGGTTGGCTGTGTAGGAGCTATTGTTTGTGGATTGTTTGGCTATTTCGTAACATCCTGAGTAGTTGTGGTGCTGGCTGTGTGCCCATTAGTCTTTTGTGTTGTAATGACATCAGGATCTCAGGATGTCATCACACAACCCATTACCCAGGTCATTACAACACAAAAGACTAATGGGCACACAGCCAGCACCTCAACTACTCAGGATGTTACGAAACAGCCAAACAATCCACAAACAATAGCTCCTACACAGCCAACCAATCCACCTAAAGCAACTAAGCCAGCACTCCACACACCCCCACCAATATATATAGAGAGACGGCAGCTTCGATCACACTTTGCTCGCACAATCCCGAAGCCGAAAACATCAGCCTGAAGATGACGAATGGGACTTCGTCGAAACGTTGCCAAGACTCTTTCAATTTTACATGGGAGAAAACCCAAATAACCAAAGACCTACATACAAACACCCGCAAAAACCTCAGAATATATATATATATATATATATATATATATATATATATATATATATATATATATATTATGCTCGAAGCACGAGCTGAAAACAACCGCCTGAGATGACGAAGAGGACTTGTCGAAACGTCGCCAAGACATCCAATTTTACGCGGGAGAAAACCGAACCAACCAAAGACCTACAGATTACTAGTATATATATATATATTATATATATATATATATATATATATATATATATATATATATATATATATATATACACACACACACACACACACACACACACACACACACACACACACACATACATACATAGAAAGAGAGAGAGAGAGAGAACATATAATCATCAGAATGAAGATTGGTGCAAATTTCAAAGTCTATATTCAACAGAGTAAACAGATCTCTTTATGAGCATCTTGTTTGCAAGAGATAGCTATGAGGACTTCCTGTACAGATTTTAGAAGCTAACCAAATTCTGCAACATCTTTTGAATTACTCTCTGTAAATAAATAAGAAGATGGAATCAGATTGTTTATACCTATATGTTATCACATATGTAAGTTCATTCCTAGCAAGCAGATCTGTTGTTCAGGAATCCATAAATGAAATCAATAATAAACAAGTAATGAAATTAGATGAATCAATAGAGTTTTTAAACTAACATGACTGACACATGTTAGTCATATATAGCCATTCAATCTTGGAAGAGTTCACATTATTTCCCTGCAAATGTCTCATTCTATCTTTTAGAAATCCAACACAAGAGGACAAAAACTGTAGTACAAAGGCTTCCTGTTTTTCTTCCATATAATAAAAAGGGAAATCTGTTTCAGAAAAATAAAGAAATTGAAATATCATTTGTACTGCAATGGCCAGTCTGAGGGCACTTGACATGTCTATATTGTAATTGCAATGCAAGAACAAAAATAATAGCTGTGTTTATAATTCAGACAGCCTCATTTTCCTGTGACAAATCTACCATGCCTATAGCCTAAGGCATTCTGCTCATAACAAAGGATTAATAAAAAAAATGATGCATTACATTATTAGCAGTTGTTTAAAAACAGAAGTAAATTCCTTCCAAATAAATTTTTAAGAATACAAAGAGTCTGCTTAACAGCACAGTTATAAAGCAAAAGCAAAGTGGAACTTTCTCACTTTTCTCATTTCATCAACTAATTATTAAGGACATTACAATTATCACCATCATCACATTTGTACTTTCTGTACATCTGAGGAAAGCTTTGAAGTTAAAAGTCTACTAATTAATGAGGTTGGCAAATCACAACTTGATGCAGAATGTTACACAGTTTTCATGCAGAAGATCCCAAATTCAACTGTAAATTTCCAATTAACAGACATGGGCATCTCCTATGTGACTCTGGATATACTGTCAATTATAGCAGAATAGAAAATAAGTCTGACCTGGCATCTTCTAACTGGCTACCTACTGTAGCTATCTTAGAACTCATACCAAATTTTCCTCAAATATTTTCATAAGTTCAAATCATAACCCATGTGACTTAGACACATTGTAGATCTTAGCA